AAGCTGTCCAAGCCTTGCACTAGGCTCTGAATTTCTTCGACATACTTTATCATCCGATCTTCTTTGATTTCGCAATTTCCTAATACTTGCCCCACAACTAGTTGTGAGTCCGAATGTGCCATGATCTCCGTCGCTCCGCCCCCGATTGCCAGTTGGATTCCCTTGATTAGAGCCTCGTACTCCGCTTCGTTGTTTGAGGCTTTGAACCCCATTCTGATGGCGAAGTCGAGCTGTTCGCCTTTGGGGGATATCAGGGTTACTCCCAGACCAGATCCCTTGGCTGATGAGGACCCGTCGACGTGCATCATCCATTTCTTGCTTACCCCTTTAGTTCCTTCTTCAATAAAGTCGGCTAGCGCTTGGGCCTTTATAGCTCGTCGAGGTTCGTATTTGATGGAAAATTCGCTAAGTTCGACTGCCCATTTTACGAGTCGACCCGACACAGTAGGTCGACCCAGGGTCTCTCCGAGCTGGAAATTTGTCCTTACTATTATCACATGGTTCAGGAAATATGGTCTTAATTTTCTGGCTGTGAGTACCAACGTCAATGCGGCCTTCTCGACTTCGGAATACCTTGCTTCTGTGCCTTGAAGCACTCGACTTGTGTAATAGATCGGCTGTTGGGCTCCTCCAGTTTCTCGCAGTAATACCGAACTCAAGGAAAAGATTCCCACCGAGATATAAAGCACCAATTCGTCGCCCGGCTCCGGCTTTGTTAATAATGGCAGTTCGCTCAAAAACTCCTTCAACTTTTCAAACGCCATCTGGGCCTCGTCACCCCACTGAAAAGCTTTTTTCTTGAGTAACTTGAAGAATGGGAAACTCCTTTCCGCCGCTCGAGCTATGAATCGACTTAGACCTGCAATTCGACCTGTCAGGACTTGCACTTCTCTAACGTTTTTTGGCGGAGCCATGTCGAGTATGGTTTGCACTTTGTCCTTATTTACTTCGATGCCTCTTTCAGTTACGACATAGCCTAGGAATCGTCCCGCCTTTACTCCGAAGGCGCACTTACTCGGGTTTAGTTTCATTCCAAATGTTCTTAATGTCGTAAACGTTTCCCTCAAATCCTCCACATGCGAGATCGGGGACCTACTTTTCACCAGGATATCATCCACATAGACTTCCATATTTCGCCCGATCTGTGATTTGAACATTCGATCCATCAACCTCTGATATGTTGCCCCCGCATTTTTAAGCCCAAAAGGCATGACGACATAGCAATATGTCCCCTTGCTCGTTACGAAACTAACTTTGCTTTGATCTTTAGGAGCCAACGGAATTTGGTGATATCCCTGGGACGCGTCCATCATACTTAGTAATTGGCAGCCAGCTGTGGAGTCGACCAGCTGGTCGATTCTCAGCAGGGGGTAGTGGTCCTTTGGGCAGGCTAAATTTAAGTCGCGAAAATCGATGCACATGCGCCACTTGTTTAGCGCTTTCCTCACCATCACTGTATTCGATATCCATTCGGGGAATTGGATTTCCTTGATATGTTTGGCCTTCAGCAACTTATCCACCTCGACCTTGATTGCTTTATCGATCTCTGCCCCGTGACGCCTAAGACGCTGCTTCACAGGTTTCTTGAGGGGGTCGACATTAAGTTTATGTTCCATGACGTCGGGGTTGATTCCCGTTAACTCCTCGGGGGAAAAAGCGAATATGTCCCTGAATTCTTTCAGCAGTCCCACCAACTGTTGACGCAATTCATCTTCCAATTCTCGCACAATTTTAGTGGTCTGTTCCTCTTTTTCCCCGATTTGAATTTCCATTAACTCTCCATGTGGCTCGAGGTCGTCCTCCCTTTGTCTTTTTTCGCTTGTCGTCAGCTTTTTTCCTTCTTTCACCTCCGTCCGTTGGTTTGTTCTTACTGCAATCTGATAACAGATTCTTGACAGCCTCTGGTCTCCTCTGGTCTCCTCTGGCCTCCCCGACTTTATCTCTCACGGGGAATTTTAGTTTCATATGGTAGGTTGACACTACGGCTTAGAATGTGTTGAGCGCTGGCCTTACCAGAATCACATTATAGGCTGACTCGACGTCGACTACGACAAATTGTACCATTTTCACTTTCCTTAGGTCGCCTTCCCCTAGGACGACAGCGAGCGTGGTCTCTCCTAGGGGCGCGACTTCCGAGCCGTTAAATCCAAAAAGTGAGGTGTGTAGGGGCGAGAGCTCGATGTCGAGTTCCATCCGCTTAAGACAATTGTAAAAAATTACGTTCACTGAGCTTCTTGTGTCGACAAAGATTCTTTGTACTTCATAGCCCGATATCTGGGCTGTAATCATTAGGGCATCGTTGTGAGGTCTCTCGACTTCTCCCATGTCTGCTGGTCCAATATTCATCACCGGACCATTTTCCTCGACCTGCTGCACCTCAATTTTTCCATGGTGTCCTCGAGCACAGGCTTTTCTGGCCCGATTTGAATCTCCATCAGTCGGCCCTCCGAATATCATGTGAATTACTCCTCTTTTCTGAGGGAGCTCCTCCTTGTCGGGCGTCCTTGCTCTCTTGTGAGGGCTTTTGCTTCTCTCCCTGCGCCGACTGGTCCGCTCTCGATCCTTGTAAATGAATTCCTTCAGATGGCCTGCTTTGATTAATCTCTCAATCTCATTTTTAGGTGTCGACATTCATCGGTATTGTGGTCGTAGTCTTTGTGAAATCGACAATACAGATCGCTTTTCGGCTTTGTTGGCCCATCCTTTCTCGTCCGTGGCCACCTGACAACATTGTCACGGATCTCTTTCTCCATAACCTCCAGTATCCTTGCATTCGAAGCTAACATGGGAGTATATTGGGCTGTCCTCCATCCCCTTGATCGTCCTTCTCTTTCGGGCCTCGGGGATCCCTTTCTTTCAGTTGTCGCGACCGGCTTTTTATCCTTCTTCTCGTCCCGAGGCTCAGTTTTTGACTTGGCTGCTTGCAGAAAGTCCGCTTCAGCTTCTTCCACATTCATGTATTTGGCGCATCTT